GGGGCGGTGGCGGGTTCATGCCGGGGACTGCACCAGGCGACGCCGCCGCATTTTTTCCCGCGTGTTGCCGGTGACTGGACTTGCTCCTGCGGGTTTTCTAACTTCGCCTCGAGGGCGGTGTGCTTTCAGTGCCACCGGGCGAAGTCGGAGCCTCCTCTCGTCGGTACTGAGCCGCGGACGGTGGTGGACGCGCAGCAAAGTAGCTTCAGGCGGGGTGACTGGATGTGTGCCTGCGGGGCCCACAACTTCGCGAGGCGGGAGGTCTGTCTGTCGTGCGAGGCTCCGCGGAGGTTAAATGACAGGCAGCGCGAGGGGAACGGCCCGCAACTGCTCCCCGGCGACTGGATGTGTAAGAAGTGCAGTGCGCACAACTTCCGCTCACGCAGGGAGTGTCTGCGGTGCGGATGGAAGCCCGTCGCTGCGCACCCCACCGGCGCCGCCGACGCAAGCGCCGACCATCCCACCGGGTCCGTGCAGCCACAGTGGACGTGTTTAACGTGTCATACCGTCAATGAAAAGCAGGCCAATTTCTGTGAGGTTTGCGGCAGCGTGCCTGCGACCCCAGCAGCCTCGGCGCCGTCGGCCCCAATCTCTGCACGGCGCGACGACTGGCACTGTGGCCAGTGTGGCTTCCTCAACTTTTCGTCAAGGGCAAAGTGCAAAAATTGCGGGACGCCGTCTGCAAAGGCGGGCAGCTCAACGGACTCCTCCCTTTGGGTTTGCAAGTGTGGCTACAAGAACTTCAGGGACCGTGAGTCATGCCGTGATTGCGGGGCCGCGAAGCCGGCAGGGCCGTAGGGGAACCGACGTTTAAGGGGCCGTCCCTCCCTCGCGGTTTCCATTCAGGAGGCGGAGTTCTCACGGACAGAAGAATGGCCAGCGTATGATACACACAGACACATATAAATAGGCATACCGTTCCTGTTTCCTTCACTCCTTCTGCTCATTTACTGCTGCTTCTGCGAGGGCGTGTGTGTGTTGTTGTTGTTTTTTGTTTGCTTTTTATCTTATTCAAGCTCAGTCCTCCACAACCCTGCTTTTTTTTTTATTCTTTTCCCTCCTCCCTCTCTCTCGCTCCTGCGAAAACAAAAAAAAAGATGCACACAAATGGGTGCGCTCCCACGGAGGGCTCGGTGCTGTCGTTACCGCCCTCCATGCCCCCCTGTGAACGGGCGACGATGCAGGCGGTGTGCGAGGCGCAGCGGCAGTACCTCACGGCTCACATCACGCAGTTGTACGCCAACACCAACCCGGCCGAGCTTTGGGGCAACATCGTGAAGTATCGGGAGCGCAACAACACAGACGCGCTCGACACAGTAGAGTCGTACGATGAACTGCGGTTATCCTACAATGGGTTTAGGAAGGTCGTCTATAGTCTTATTTTTCACGTTTCGCCCGAGGAGGAAAATCGGACGTCCGCGGAGGAGCGCGAGGCCAGGAAACGCCTCTACTTTAACCACCCCTTTCTGTCGCCGGCAACATTTCTCGCCTTTCCGCGCGCGGAGGACGGGACGATAGCCGCGGTTCCCATGTATGCCTTCGCCGCAAAGCGCCTGCTCCTGTACAGGATGCGGATAGAACTTGAGCTGGTGGCCAGAGTTTTGCCACCGGCGCTTCAGGACCCCGTCACGAGGGTTACGCATCTTTTGCTGTGCCCCCCCAGTGCGTCCTCCCCGCTCTCAAACGGGCTCACGCAGGAGGACATTGAGACGTTTCTGTACGAATTGTTACCCAATCTGCGACTGGTGCGGGATATGCCGCCCTGGATGCAGCCGTACTACCTTTGCCACGCCTCCAGAAAGTTTATGTTTATGTGCGACACGAGGCGCACAGGGGCGATATCTATTGAGAGCATGATGAAAAGCGACGTCTTTTCGGAACTTTTAAGGGTATTTGAGAGTGATGCGAACGACGCCATCGCCGTTTTCACGGAAGGCTGCGCAGTCGACGTGGCCGCCAACCTCGTGTCGCCGGATGCCGCAGAGGATGACACGATCCCGGCCCTTGTGTTGTTCTACGAGGGCGAAGGCAACGAAAAGGACGACATGTACATAGTGAAAACGTTGACGGATGACGTTGTCTTGAAGGTCCGTCGCAGCCAGCTGTACTGGAACTCTGGCTCCATCGACTTCCTCCAGCCGGACGTGCTCTGCATGGACAACTGGTTCTCTCTGGCTCTCATGGCCCGCATTTACGACCACTTCACGAGCCTGGACGTTGACGGGGACGGTGTCCTCACGGTGGATGAGCTCGCCCGCTACAGTGACGGCAGCTTCACCCGGCTGGTGATTGAGCGGGTCTTTGAGTGCCACGTCCCCCACAGCGGCAAGCGACACGTCATGGACTACAAAACCTATTTGGACTTTGTTATCGCCACAGAGCACCCCGCGACTCTTCCGGCGATGAAGTACATCTGGAGCATACTCGACCTCGAGGAGACCAAGTCGTTTGTGACGGTCGCAACACTGCGCTGCTTCTGCAAGGCGATCGCCAACGAGCTCATTGCGAACGGTCTCATGACAGACATTTCCGCGCAGTCTATTCTCTCAGAGCTGATAGACATGATAAACCCAAAGTGGCACGAGTGGGTTGAGCTGGACGATATCGTGCGTTCAGGCCACCAAGCCACTGTCCTTCCAATCCTTCTCAGCTACCGCAACTTCTACGCATACGATTGCCGCGAACAGACAGCAGCTGTCGCTAATGACGGGTACGCGTGAGCTGTGCCGTGAAATGGCTGTGGAAATACCTGAGTGATGCGGGGGTGTGTGAGCATAGAGTCGTGAGCACACTTAATGAAGAAGAGAAGGGTGGTGTGAGAGAGACAACTACAAGAGGATTTCATTTGGGACAAGAGTGTGCCACTAACGTTTATGATTATCACGTTCTTTCCTTGCTTTATTTTCTCTTTTTCTTTCTTCCTCTGTTCAACGACCTCGCTTGGGTTCATTTCTCACACACAAAGGCAGGGGTGCACGCATACACGCACGCACAAACGGCGGTGGATTCAAGATGGTGAACTACCCAAAGAAGAAGACGATGCACTGCCCCGATGCGCGCTGCAACGCGCACAAGAGCTTCAAGGTTGTGCAGTACAAGGCGGGCAAGGCACGTCTCTATGCGCGCGGTAAGCGGCGTTACGACCGCAAGCAGTCCGGTTATGGTGGTCAGACGAAGCCCATCTTCCACAAGAAGGCCAAGACGACAAAAAAGATTGTCCTGAAGCTCCAATGCTCTAGCTGCAAGTCCATCGTGCAAAACGTGCTCAAGCGCACGAAGCACTTTGAGCTGAACGACAAAAAGAAGACAGGCAACAAGGATCCCACGTGGTAGGCCCCGCCATTTGTTTCGTTTTTTTCCCCTTTTTTTTCTCTACGCATGTGTTTCGTATTCTCTTTTTTTTCGGCCCCCTGGAGGTTGGGGCTATGGAAAGGAGTGTGCCCGCCGCTTGTTTTGCTGAGCTTCTCACCTAACGGCGTTCACACATTTTTCCTTTTTTCCTCTTCTGTGTCGCCTGCCGGCGACGGCAGCTGCGCGGTGCCATATTCAGCCTTTACCCACAGACTCACAAGTCTCCACGGCCGGACCCATGTTTCGTCTCTCGTATTGCCTCCTGGCACGCCCCGCCCTCCGCAAGGGGGCCGTAAAGGTCGCCAAGGCAGCGAAGGTGCTGCCTGTCAAGGGCCTGGCGCAGCCTGCCGCCTCGGTCCTTAAGGCCCCCGTTGCGCCGCCGCTCGAGATGGTGCCCCCGAAGATGCCGTCGCTTGACATTGTCCCGCCGTCGCACGCCGCCGTGAAGCCGGTGGGCTCGGGGAAGGGGAAGGTGAAGGTGAGGGCCGCGTCTCCCAAAACGCCAGCAAAGAAGCCGGCCAAGGGCACCGCAAAGGTGGCGGGGGGCGCACCCCACAAGCCCGCGAAGGCAAAGCCAGTGGCGTCGAGGTTGGGCGCGAAGAAGCCGATGAAGCTGCGGCTGGCTAGCAAGCCAAAGGCGAAGGCGAAGGCGAAGGCAAACACGAAGGGGACGTCGAAGGTTTCCAAGGCAGCGAAGCCGAAGGCCCCCAACACGCGACGGAGAAGCCAAGGCGCAAGTGAGCTAACCGGAACTTCGTGTGCGGCTAGCC